GGAGAAAACCACATGTGCAGATCCATAGAGCAATGAACTTTCTAAGCCAAACACAAGAACAGAAGCATTTCTAGGAGAGAGTGGCTTGCCAAGACAAACATGTTCTGCCAACATTTTAACACCACAGAAGGTCAGTTAGGTTATAATTAAGTCTAATTACCATTCTCATGAATTGCAACATCTTTTCACTTGACGGTGCTTAATGCTCAGAAAAGGATCAGTTTTTATTTTATATTTTCCTAGAATCAAAGTAATGAGACGTTCTAATCTTGGCTTCAGACCTGAATCATAACTTACCATTATAAAGAAAAAAAGCATATCATCATTAAAAGGAAGAGATTTGTGGAGTTGTGCTGGGTTGACCCTGGCTGGATGCCAGGTGCCCACCAAAGCCACTCCATCACTCCCCTCCTCAGCTGGAGAGAGGAGAGAAAATATATCGACAGGTTCTTGGGTTGAGATAAGGACAGGGAGATCACTCACCAACTGCCATCATGGGCAAAACAGACTCCACTTGGGGAAATTAGTTTCATTTATTATCAATCAAATCAGAGCAAGATAAGGAGAAAGAAAACCAAATCTTAAAACATCTTCCCCCCACCCCTCCCTTCTTCCCACGTTTGACTTTGCTCCAGATTTCTCTCCCTCCTCCCCACAGCAGCGCAGGGGGACAGGGAATGGGGCTTGTGGGCAGTTCATCCCCCGTTGTCTCTGCTGCTCCCTCCTCCTCAGGGGCAGGACTCCTCGCACTCTTCCCCTGCTCCAGCGTGGGTCCCTCCCAGAGGGAGACAGTCCTCTACGAACTTACCCAACGTGAGTCCTTCCCACGAACTGCAGCTCTTCACGAACTGCTCCAGCGTGGGTCCCTCCCAGGGGCCGCAGCCCCTCAGGAACAGACTGCTCCAGCGTGGGTCCCCCACGGGTCACAGCTCCTGCCAGCAAACCTGCTCCAGCGTGGGCTCCTCTCTCCACGGGGCCACAGGTCCTGCCAGGAGCCTGCTCCAGCGTGGGCTGTCCACGGGGTCACAGCCTCCTTGGGGCACATCCCCCTGCTCCGGCCTGGGGTCCTCCCCGGGCTGCAGGTGGAAGCTGCCCCACCGTTAACCCCCCCGGGCTGCAGGGCACAGCCTGCCTCCCCCTGCTCTGCCCCACGGGCTGCAGGGGGATCTCTGCTCCGGCGCCTGGAGCACCTCCTGCCCTCCTTCCTCACTGACCTGGGTGGCTGCGGAGTGGTTCCTCTCACACATTCTCACTCCTCTCTCTGGCTGCATTTGCACAGGTTTTTTTCCCCCTTTTTAAATACATTATCCCAGAGGTGCTGCCACCATCGCTGATGGGCTCGGCCTTGGCCAGCGGTGGGTCCATCCTGCAGCTGCTGGTGTTGGCTCTGTTGGACACAGGGGAAGCTTCTGACAGCTTCTCACAGGAGCCACCCCTGGAGCCTCCCTGCTATCAAAACCTGGCCATGCAAACCCAATACAGAAGTCTATTCAACCATTAATACTTCCTTACACCTGCTTTTCCCTATTTATCCGCAGTAATTTTACAGGTTTTTTTCTCTTCTGTTCAATACCGCTCTGAGGTTTTTTTTCATTATTCCACATTTTCTTTTTTCCTTCTCATAGTTTTATATACTTTCTGCTTCAGCTCCCTATTTGTAATCCTCTATATATCTTCAGATCTTCCTCTCTGCTCCCCAAACAAGCTGGAGAATCTGACAGTAGATGACTTTCTTCTGTTTCCTCAGGCACGCTGTGATTGTTGCATTAGACAGAACTGCATTGGGAAAGCACCTGAGCTTATCTCATCGAGGGAAAAGATGAGATAAAAACTGGTGAAGCAAAGACATGTTTTTCTCCCCCTTTCCTTTTCCTGCAGGCCAACAGAAAGTGAGAGAGGAAAAAAACAGTAGCCATTTGGCAGCTTCTCCTGCCTCAGTGATGCAAGACCTGGTGCATGCTTGTCCTGGTCTCATTCAAATGAGAACGCAGCTGAAAAGCCTGGGCTATCAACCATCACCCAGCTCACAGGGGAAACCCTTCAGCACCCTCAGGTCTAGGTGGGGAGCTGCAGTTTGCTAGTTGGCATCAGCTGCTCTTGCATGTGGCCATCCCTTGCATAGGGGAAAAAAAGCCTCTCTCAGTTGCTAGGATGATCCTCCAATAAAATGATAATTTGACCTCTCTGGAGCCTGGCAAAGCATCAAGGACTATTTATTTTTAAACTCAAATAAAAAACCTGGAAAACTGGAAGAACTAGTCAGCTTGTAGCAGCGTACTGTGCCCAGCAGTCCAGAGGTTTACAAAGGCCCCCAGCAGTAGGGACACACATCAACAGCGCTACCAAATACAGCCATGTGCCTCTGCCTAGCATTGCTCTGTGTGAAGCATCCCTCTGAATCTAGGTCTGTTGCTGCAGTGTTGGTCTTAAAGCCATCAGTAAGGGCAGTATGCAATTAGCAGCCCTGCCCCCGCCGCACTCCATGCCTTACTCCCTCTCATTAATGCTCTCTTCATTATCTCACCTTGACTAAAAGGGTGAGAGACTAAAAGGATGAGGCACATCTTTGTGAAAGTCAACTTGTGCGTCAGCAAAGAGAGGAGCGCTGCCTGTGGGCTGTCTCCTACTTCCATTTTATTTTTTCAATAGAACATACAAAGCTACTGCAGAAGCAGGGCTTCCTAAGCACAAAACAATAACTGTTATTAACTATGCTTTATTTCCTCCAAGTAAAATTCTGCTACTTCTCCCTGACATTATTGCTTGAAACAGAAATGTACTCTCCTGATGAAGAATTCCACATACCAGAAAAGATGATTCTGCACTCTGAGGGAACTACTATCTCTTAAAATATGTATGACCTACAAAATGAGTTTAATTTTCCTTTGCATGTCAAAAGTTTAGATGTGTAACAAAAAAATCTTTCACTGAATACTAACATTTTTCTTTTTAAGTTATCAAACAAAATTTCACTGAAACAAAATCAGTATTTTCCTGTCACAGGCTGAAGTATCATACAGTTGTGCTCTCATACTGCAAATAGTCTCTTAATAAATAAAAACTAGAGTTTTAGTTATCATATGGTACTTCAAGTTCCACCTGTCCTACAGGGAACCCACATGTCACCAGGGAATTTATATGCTGCTTCACTTAGCAACCCTTATGTCATGTAAGGCTTTTTATTATAGGTGGGGCAAAACATAAATCCACAGCACCCTTTTATTTACTTCCAAATATATTAATCTCTTCCATCTATAAGACTAACTTATCCTCCCCCATATTGTTCACACCTGTAGCCCTACAAAAACACATAGACTGAAATCCTTGACCCACTGAAGTTGCTGGAAGTTTTTCAATGGACTTCCAGAGCTTGGATTTTATTTTCCCTTCCCCAGCTAATATACTACTACTCTAATTACTTTAAATCCAGTTGTTTCTTTTTCCAATCTTGCTGGGTTGAAAAAATATCTGAGGTGTAAAAGAATTAAGCTGTTTTTCTGTAATTTACGATGGTGCAAGATGGTCCTGGCACACTGGGGGCTGGAACGATGCCTATGGTTATGTTTTCTTGGCAGTTCACCATTTTATGACCATCCTTAAGTCTACAAAATTCAAATTGTCTGTTGCTGAAATAATCCCTCACAACCTATTGCTGTACATACAGCCCTTGGACTCTGCATATTACAAGATCAAATGACATAGCAGGTTAAATTGGTACAGGTTATGTGAAACCCTAGAGTCAAACTGGTTCAAATATTAGTTCAAATATAGTTTCATATTCTCTCACTTAATAAGGCCAAAATCCATACAGACAACAGTGGAGTATCAAGCAAAAACCCACAGCTTGTTCCCTTGCCTTCCAAACCTGAAATCCATTATCTAGAGATCCACCACCTACTAGCACACATGTGAGAGTATAGTCTGAGCAGATGGTTCAAAGCTAACTGTCAATCCATTTGCAGTTCAAAACAGTGGTGAACTACTCCAGCTGTTTTCCAGATCAAAAATATTATTGTCATTTTGCTATCGCTGCGTGCTGAGGGTTATGTAACAAAAATGCACATGTCCCTCTGCCTGGAATGCAATTAATTTCCTCCCTCCCCACTGAGAGTGGTAAGTAACAATTCAGACAGCCTGGTTGTTTCAGTTTTGAGCATGGCCAGAGATGCAACCCTGGAATTATTCCACAGGGGAACCCACTATCTGTAACACGCCAGTCTTCTGGAGGTCTTACAGACAGGGTGTATTTTGCAGTTTGGAAAAAAAATAAACACTATCGTCCTGTTTATACATGACCTCTTACTGTCTGTAGGGTACTATGAATGCTTTGCTGTAGTTCTTTAGTTTAACCATAGACTTTGCTTTACGTTGGAATTTTAAGTATTCTAAATAAGTGCGCTAACTAGATGAAGTAATTGCTTCTGATCTGAAATTAGCCACTATACTTGCTGTATACTTTGCTATGCAAAAATAAGGCATTGTACACTATTAACCTTAAAATAGTGACATAATCCCATCTTAATTTACAAATATCCAAACATCATGCAGGCGGTTAAATTCAGACTCCATAATGCTTAACCACTTCATGCAATTTGCTTACATAAAGAGAACAACTGGAAATCCTTTGCTTAGAACAGTCCACTCAAGAAGCAAAACTAATTTCCTCAATGCAATCTTTTCTGCAACGTGCCTTTCATCTTTATAAGTGCAGCTAACCCAGTGATATTTATATATCAACTAGAAGATCTTCAGGACAGAATCTGTCTTTCTATAAAATGTTTGCACCATACATAACATCTCTCAGTTGTTCCTGTGATATAAATACAATGGGGTGATCAACTGTATGCTGGGGTGTCAGCTGAGATGAAACATTAACTTAGTACTTAACTGCAGCAATTTCCTTTAATGTGTTATTACTTGGTTCAGCTTGTTCTGGATTTCTGGCACGCTTTATAGCTTACTTCTGTAAGTAGCACCTGCAGTGGTTTTACTATTCTTACCTGGTTAAATAGGCCAGAGCCAGCTCAGATCCCGACTGCTTTTTGGGCTCCACCTTTTTAGTAGAGATTCCAGCTTCTCTCATCAGCTGTTTTTCCTTCTTCTTACTCTCTTTTTTTAATTTTCTTTCCAGTTTCCTCCTTTCCTCTGCTGTAAGTTCTTCCTTTTCTTTTGTTGTCTGAAAAAACCCATTTAAATAAAGTGTTTATATTTCTATAGGAAAGTGAACAAAATATGCATAAGGGCAATTGAAGGGCACAGGTAGTATTTAAAACCAGAAGCTTCAAGCTTCATAATTTTACTGTTCACTATACTATCACCTCTCTACTCTGCTCAATTCACAGAATTTATGCAATACTGCACTTGCAGAAGTCTGTAGAACTGCTCTCTACAGATGATTATTCTGTTCTCAGCAGTACTGTAATCTGAGCACCTTCTAGCTACGTTTTAAACATAATATCTAACATTTGTTGTACTGTTTGTTCTCCCATCCCGTCCTGAGGTGGGGGGGAATGTGAACAGCAGAGGCTGTTTCATAGTGGAGGGAGGGTATGGATTTTTTTTTTTAGCATATACACATTTAAGTGCAAGAAGTAAGGTTTCCTTAAGATCATTACTTTCTGGGGCTGTTGTGTAACCTCACACTTCTCTGGATTAAGAAAACCTGCCTGCCACACAGGGTCTTCATCTCCATTATGCCAAAGGAGATGTGACAACTACCATCTTCATCCAAGACCTCCTGGAGGTCTTTCAGCAATCTTGGGTAAACATTCATGAACTTCAATAAACATACACACATATATCCCACAGAGGTTGAAGTTTCTTTAGGTTTGCAGACAGAACAGTTAATTATTCACATCTAAAACATTATTACTATTAATATATGCATAAGTGTACCCCAAATGAAAATATGTATTTCACATACAGATGAAGAGCACTAAATAGATGTGCTGAACTTCTCAGGGAAAATCCAGTGCAAGATCACAGTGTAGAAATAAAACGTGGTTCCACAGCAAGATGAGACTGACTCCAGGGACTCCTAGATGTCTGAGAGAGGTTCATTCATATCTTCCCTGGCAACAGTCTCACTGAATTGTTAAGTATCAACTGGAAGCATAAAAAAATTGCAGCTGGTCTAGTATTAGATGGCTGTTTGTTCAATGACCTCCCCAAGACTTCCCTGAGAGACAGAGAGATTTACTCTTTACAGAACCCTAACTACTCTCATGATCATTGTACACAGACCTTCACAAAAGTGTAGACAAAGCAGCTTCTGGGTATCCAAACCCCTATGTACCTCCAGAAACAGGACTGATTTGGACACTACGAAGCCACCTCTTCTGTGCAACATCCCAGTAACAACGGAGCAATGGAAAAAAGTATGAAGTTCTGCAAACAAGACTCTTACACTGTATTGGTCTTGCTTTTGTATATTTCCAAGTCCAAGATTGAAGGGGTGGTGCTAATTCTTAGCTTGTATGATAGTTACAGATCTTACACAATCCCAAATAAAATGTTGATACCTTCATTGTGGTTTAAGGAACTGCTGCTTCTTAGCCACTTCCATGGGTCAGGCACTGCAATAAAACGCAGGCTAAAGGTATGCAGAAAGGACCATTTAAATATGACCTTCTCTTCCAAGGTAAGAACAGAAATCTAGTAGCAAAAATATTAGAAGTATTAGGTGTTGTGACGAACTCAGGGTTTTTAGCTCCTGTTTGCTGTGCTGTACTACTTCCCTGCTATCATTTGTAGCCAACTCAAAATTGCAAACATCTATACACTTCTAAATTACAGGCTCATATTGGAATAGGTTGTCAGACTTGCATTTTTTTTATCTAACCATACTTAGCACCTTCTGTCAAGTCCATTTAACACACTCATGGCATTTAACAAGAAGAGATGGGGCTGTGGGCAACACTGTGGAAACAGTGTTTGCAGTAACATCAAATGTGATAGAGATGTTGCCCCAGCAGTAATGATTTGCAAATGACTCAGTTAATCCACTTCCTCAGAAACAGTTGTATTGGGTTTGTTAAGAAAACCTGAGCAAGGAACAGATTCCTGCAAGGCCAGGCTATATTTATAAGAAGATGGGGTCTCTGGGTATGGATAAACCACCCACCGACAGCAGTGGATATGGCACAGATGGAAAATGTCTACCTTATCTGTACAGAAGTGGACTTTGAAGCAGACTGCTATATGGCAAGGACAGAAAAATGGGAGATGGCATGCAAGTGTTTGTTGAGTTATTTAAATCTATAATTCTTCTGCTCAAAATAAAGTACACTTTCTGATGTTTCTGCCAAATTTGCATGTCCCTTGGACACTTCAGCTATAAGCTGATGAAGGGGAAGTATACAGAGACAAATAAGGCAGTCCAGAGGAGCCACCCACACCTATGGCAGCTGTATTAGCATCTCGCATCCCAGGGCCGGGGAAGATAAAGGAGTGTAACCACCACTAACATTTCCAAGAACAAGAATTACATTCACAGAGTGAAACTGGTTCAGAGCCAGCAGCTTTAACATAGCATTGTATCTGCCAGGTGAGGTCATCTGCTAGAGCATCAGAAACCCATGGAGGCCAAACTGAGTGTGAAAGAAATGTTCTTCCTCATCTCTCTGCCCCCTTCTCATCTGTTTAAGGAACTCCTAACTGAAACCTTAATGCACAAGAAGATCAACTGCTTTATGGAAAAATTAGTTAAAACCACTTTATAAACTGACAATCCTTAGTGTTATATTGATCTGCGTTAGTCGAGTGCTTTCAAACAAAAATCCAGACGTGATGTTAAATAACATCATTCCTGCTGACATTCAAGCAAAGGATGGTTAAACAAGACAATACCTGAACACCATCTTATTTGCCAAAGACACCTGCTGAGGATTAAACATTTGTTCAGTGTCAATTCATGTATCATCTAAGTTTAGTCTGACTCATCTTTTCAACTTTCTGTTTTCAAAGATCGAGAAAGGACAAGAAAGCAGAAATTAGAATAAATGGGAGTGGGACAGTAAAGAGAATTTTTTTTTTTTTTGTTTAAAATACTTTTCAACTAGTTTTATGGAAAATCCAGCGCTCCTGCAAACACAGGCAAAAAAGCAACATATGTTGCATTTGTATAGAAGACATTTTATAACTCATGCTGAGAATAAAATAATATTTAGGTGAAGGTAGATACGTAATTGCTATACAGGAAACAACGTTTTCATTTGAAAAGCCACCATGGTACTTGCTAAAGTAACAATCTAGCCACACAAAGCCCAGGAAAACACTGAGGGTGGTCATTTATAAAGTGTTTGTAAAAGATTACTACAGCAGCTGTCCAACAGACGACACACTACAGTTAATCTTCTTTTAAAAATAATGTAATGAATTTGTTTACTTTTCTGTGAGCCATGAAGCTTTCAAATAAAGTGACTGTGGCACATCATTAGAGCCGGTCCGATAAAGAGGCCTCTGCTTCTTCATACTTACAGTAAATGCACATCTCTGTACCTTCCCTTCCCCCCCACATTCCTCGCATTATCAAAAAGCTTTTTATCCCTCTCCCCAACCGCTCCATTAAAAACAAAACAAGTTGCCCCCTCCCAACGTAAATACCGAGCCCTAACAACGTTTGTTTCCAGCATTGCAGTTGATGCAGTGTGGGCTGTCTGAAACAAAAGCATTGTTCTCCCTGCGGGGCTGGTGCTGTCCCAGGCATGAAAGAGTCAGGATTTACAGCTGGAGGTACCTTCTGCTAGCCCACAGCATCATCCAGGGAAAATCGGATTCATCAGGCTTCTGTCTGGGACTCCCAGCACACAGACTGTGATCAAGCGCTCACAGACTTACAGCTCAACCAACTAGTTGCAACTATACTTCTATCTATTCATGTCAACTTGATTAATCTAGTAGTACATACCACAGTCCGTCCTTGACGGGTTTTTAATTTGAAAGCCTCAAGTTTTATGTGCTTCATAAAATACTTACATTTAGTGGTATATTCTCCAGTGAAGCTGAAGGTAGTTTTACTGCAATTTAAAACAAAAACCAAACCAAAAAAACCCCAAACAACAACACAACCAAAACCAACCTTCTCCAAAACCTGGGACACAAAAACAAACCTTTCACTGGAATTTAAAGCCTAGCTGTATTTATTTTAACTTGGATGATCTCTGTTATGATACTCTACTGAGGCATCTCTCCTTTCTTTAAATCAACAGCCTTATTTTTAAATTTTGCTTTCCCTGAACCATTACTGTGACTATTTTTCTGAAAGATGTGTCCAAATTTTCTGAGCCATTCAGATTAAGATTTTTAGCATTATGTCACTATTTAAATTAAAAAAAAAAAAAAAAAAAAAAAACAAAAAAAAACCAAGAGGACTTCATTGTTTCAAGGTCATAAATATTCCACATTGTGTCCTTTTATATTTACAAAGTGACATCACAATTTGTAGTGCTACAATTTAGTCTGAACTACAACATTGTAAAGTCCATATTTGAGCATGTGAGACACTTGTTTATTGATGTGATAAATTTAAAACACATGCATACAGGAAAACACAACACTTGCTTTTTTGCAAAGCCTGCTGAGAGCTACCACACCACCTTGGATTGTGGGCTCATTAGATCTCAATCTAAACAAGGTCAGGCTAGGTCAGTACACTTGAATGAATGACATTCAGAGGAGAGCCAGTGTTTTCTCGTGATTAAGGAGGTGGGAGTCTTCTACTTGGAAACTTTCCAGAAGGCCTGAAAAGGTGCTAAAAGGGATATTGCCACTGGATGCCATATTTTGAGTAAAAGACAGACCCCCAAATCTTTAACACTTATGCTCATAAAAACCCGTGTCATCTTTGCAAGGGTATGGAGATGTGAGCTCAGACATCCTCAAGTAAATTCATGAAGTTCATACTATACCATGTTCATCTGCATGCAAAGTGCTGTGACTGCAAATACAGTGGCTTTCATCAATGCCAGTCTCTAAATTTCTGAATTGTATACAAACATAGTAATGTACTGTAAATAGTCTAAGACATCTGACTCAAAATACCTGGATGCTTCAGCTGTGGCGGTTTTAGATACCAGTTAAAGTTTTCCATTGTTCTGTAATCTGGAAATATTGCACAAATTTAAAACATTTTGTAAGTGATCTTTAGAAATGAGCTTACCCATCATAAAAGGGGAGCCATCTCAAACTAAAGCAAAGCATTTAATAGTGTAAAGCAGTCCTGCTAAGCAATTCAGAACAGAGAAAAATAAGTATAACCACAAGAGAAACTGGCAGAAAGATATACCCAAGACAGACTTTCTTGAAGATATCTGACCCTTTTTTCTGCATCAAGAATGGCAAAACCAAACAGGGGTAGTTTTTCGGAGACTACATCTGCATAAAAGCTTACACTGCCAGGGGACTCTAAACCATAACACCTGGGCAACCAGTAACAAAATGGTATTAACGGCACAGTAATTGTATTGTGCTTCAGCAGAGCAGTAAGTGCATTTCTTAATTTGTTTCCAGATTTATAGTTACCCAAAGGTCCTTGACTGCCTCATACTTGGGTATAATTGAAGACATCTAAAGATTTCTGTTCCTTCTTCTGACTTGTCACTGTTTCAGACTCCTACATTTGCATCCCTAGTTGTCTGTTGCCAGGACAGATTAAGGTTGACAGAGTCAGAAACTCTGAAGAATTGCCGAATACTCATTTATTACAAATTTGCCTTTGGGATTCGCCTGTGTAGGTCTGAACTTTCCGCCTGTTCAGGGGTTCAGCTTTCCTGCCAAACCTTTAGCACTAACCACAGACCAGCCACAACACCAAATTTACTATTCATTAGTACCAGTGAATCCAGCTCCTCAAAAGCCAATAGACTTTCATCCTTTTCCACCAGCACAGCAACACAAGTCTGTACAACAGCAAAGCAAGCAACATCAGAAATTTGGAAGAATAAAATATAACCTAACTAACAGTGACTAACGTATAAAAAGGGCATCAAATTTTTGAACTCCAAAAAGAAAGATGGGGAATTGGATGATACTGTTTATTTCATAGTAGGAGTATTGTATTGCCTTGTTTATTCATTAAGCTCACATTATTTCATAACTTTTAATATAGAGAAATGTCAAAAAGGGCTTTGTTCACGGACCAAGATCTGACAAGGAGCTAACAACCCATCACATAATGGCTTCTGCTTACAAGTAGCCTTTTGCCCCAAAAATGCCCCGTGCATGAAATCAGCATGCAAAACGTTTTGTTTCTGTCTTACACAATACATATGAATCCAGATAAACAACTGGCCATCTGCCAGCTTAAAAACAAAAAGTGGAGTCTGTAAATACAATTCAAAACCAACAAAGAAGAAAGGCTGGCAAATCCTTAGATGCAAGGTTCATAAAAGAAAGATTGACAAATGATTTACTGTCTGAGGCTTGTCAAAGAACTGTGCTACAACTCCAGCTAAAGAATTTGCATAAAATAGTTCAAGGCCATATTGAATTTAAGTAATTATTTTTTATCATTTAGTACCTTATGAAGAGAGTAAGTATGACCAGAAACGGCATATGAAATTTCATTACCATGCAGAGAGCAAATTTTGAATGAAAAGTAACATTTGTAGAAATATACCTCCTTATACCATGTCTGTAGCACTTACAGAGGAAGACTTTTTAAAAATTATACATTGCTCTAAGAAAAAATTAAGATTTTTCATAACAGCTATGTGTTTTTAGAGTCTCAACTCCTCACAACAAAACCACTGGGAATAACTTACCTTAAGCTGATTTGAAAAGGTTTCTGTAGATGCAACACAGGCAGAAAAGCCTCAAACAAGTTCTGCAGGAAGCCAGATTTAAATAAGAACAAGCTTTTTATCTTTCTGATCCAGGAAAGGATTCTTTCAGTGGTTGTATAAATGTGGATTGGTTTTGTTTTTTGTTTTTTGTTTTTTGTTTTTTTTTTTTTTTTTTAAAAAAAGGCATCCTTGTGTACACAGTTATAGCATCTCACAAGCACAAGTGATCAGGTAGCACCCTAAAGTTGCAGTTGTAATTTAGAATTGATGTACCTTTATTAGCTTGAAACCTGGCTTAATTTACAACTGTGATATTTATGTGTTTCATAGATTTACAGCCAATTCTGAAGAGCACATAAAGCATTATCGTTAGGAACTGTTGAATAAAGAGAAATTGAACAATTTACTAAATGAAATGAAAGCATTTATAGGCACACAGAACAATACGATTTACAGAACCTAGCTTGTTGAATTCCACTTTATAGTTTGTTTTCCCCTATAAAATACATACTGTAGTAGATTAAGTTCTAAGGCATAAATTAGTACCATATTTTATTTCTCATTTTTCTCCACCAGTGCTGAATACAAGAGAAATATTTAAGACACCACCGCGACTGCAGGCTTGGGGAATGCAGTTTTGCTTCATTTGCAAGTACAGCACTGCCAGGAATTTTCACATATTTGTTGAAGGATTTTGCTTACTCTCTTACCCTTAATTAAACCATGTTAACCAATCAGGAGAAGATGAAATTAAAAAAAAAAAAAAAAGGAAACCCCTAGGAAATCATTTGTATCCACATCCCTGTGGCTTACACACAGCCCTTTTAACCCCTCCCCAGAAACACACAGAGGAATTTTAATAGAAGAAGCACGAGACTGTCGCGGTACTCGGTGTTTTCATCGCCACCAAAGTCGTCCCCTTTAGGGGTGCTGACAATTTCTTCTGAAGCTTAAAATGGCTTTGGGCTGTGAGAGGAGGTAGAAGCAGAGCACAGACTGTTTTGAAATCCTTGCTGGAGAATTTAAAAAAATAAATAAAACAACCCCAAACCACGAGCTCAATCTCCTCCAATGAAAGAGGTACCACAGGGTGTAGGCAGGTTGCCAGGCGAGCTCGGCAGCGTGACCGCACTGCATTGAGTTTCTTTAATGAAAGCCAGGAAAGAACACATTACACAGTGTTTCTTCTGAGAGCCAGCTAGCCTCCAGTGATTGAAATCAATAAAAACAGTCGGCAAGGGGCCCAGTGGGGGAAGAGAGAAATCTCCACTACAGCATTCAGTTTGCTTTCCACTTTCTCCCTCCCCCCCCTAAAGTTAAACTCTGAAGATCACCATGACAAGCTACTTTGCTTCCAGCGCTGGGAAGACGCTGGTGGGGATTTAAAGGAAGCGAGCGCTTTCCTTTCGCCTCCCTGCCTTCGCTCTCCCCCCACACACGAAGGAAATGAAAGGCTTGCCTGGAATCTGAATCCTGCCTGGAAAAACTTCATCGGACAAGTGCATCATTCTGCATTTCAGGAAAGGGATGGATTTTACAGTCGGAGAATGCTAAAAGGTGAGAGAGGAAAGAAAAGCAGGAATCTGATTCAGCCAGAGCCCACGTACAGGCTAGGATGTCCACCACGGCGGAGGGGACCTCTGAAGCTGCGGGAAGGACTGCAAGTAAGAGCCTGAGATCGGCACAATCCACATCCTAAAGCCACCAAAACATTAGGGAACACGTGACCCACGCGCCGACCCAGGTAAGCAGAACCTGCTTTTAACGATTCTCCGTCCCGCGTCCGAAATTGGAGCGAGACCTTTCTGCTTCAGCCTCTACAGACTGCCCCACGTCCTCCCTCATTAACCTCAGGCAAGTTAACACTAAGCTTGTCCTGTCTGAAAATCGTGTCAGGCCACTAATCCTCACTGAACTATAAAACATGCACAAAAGCCCTTTGTTTACCGTTTTTGTGCTGAATTTTGCTAGTTGACAAGGTAGGTCGGGGCCACTGCGTAAGTCCAGCCCCTCCAGGAGCTCGTGCTCCCAGTCCAGGAGGGCCCGCACAGAGTGAGGAAACATGACTGACCCCGCACGCTGGAGCTGACTGTGACCTGAGAGAGTGCCAGTAATGAATTTCTAATATGGTCCATATTTATCTATTCTTTTTACGTATTTTATTCACCATAGCAGCCACATACAGCACATACTTGCACCGAGTTCCATGTGCTGATCTGTACCACGAGTCACAGCAACTTGCATGCACAGGGGCTAGCCTGATTGTTTTGTCAAAAAGAACTTTGCAGTTACTTCTGACTACAGCCAACGGGGATTTCTGGCACATTGTTTAGGAATGACTGACATAGGCTTACCCAGCACATGTATATTCTGCCATTGCCCTAATGCATGCAGCTTTTATACAGATACCCCTATAAAAATGGGGAAGACACAGATCAGAGCTGTAGATAACATTCTTCTCAAGTTTTTGGCCAACTTCAGATGATTTATCTGGACTTCAGTGAGACATGAAGTGTGAAATCAAAGCCTGCCTTTTGCAAAGGAAGCGAAAATGATGATAGCTACACCTCTTTTCCAGCAGTGGCAGGAATTCACTCGAACAGATAATAAATAGGTGCTTGTGGAGCAAGAGCAACCATGCTTGCCTCCTGTGTGCTGGTTGTCATTAGATGTTGACAGCAACACACATGCTCACTGCCAGAGAGGGCTGGGGAGGGACCGGGTGCCTCTACTTCCACTCAACGTTTTGGCACCTCATTCTCCCAAACCTGTAGGTTACAGAGTCTGGATGACTCTGACAGTAGAGAGAAGAGACTTCCCAGCATCTCCTCCATTTCAGTACCAGCAGATAGAATGCAAGAATTCAGTACAGCAAGTGCAAAAGTATTCTGCAGGTGCAGAGTTGCTCTTTCTTTGGGAACCACAGCCTTTTAAGGGTGATTTTACTATTTTCACATCATGTAGAAATGGAAATGACCTCACACTTGAAGGGTGACCTGAAGAACACCTCCATGACCAAAAGTAAGGGACTGTTATTTCTGCACATAAGTTTAAGCATTTTTAAAGCATGAACTGGTCTGATCAAGCTATGAAAATAGATGAGGCAATATTTAAATAGTAAGAAGTTTTTACACTGATTTTATCAGTCCAGTTTTGAACTCTTCACATAGAACAGTCACAAAATTATAGCTGAAGATGTAATTAAAGAACAATAATTTACAATAAAAAAGCAAAGTTGTGATTCATAATAGAATACGGCCCGATATGAGGTTTTCGACATATCCACAGATCCATGATTTACCGTTTCAAAATTTGTTCCATGTTTTGCCTCCCCCTGGATGGATCCTTTGTAGAAATGACAGCATCTTCATAGTTTGGGAATCACAGCAATCACTCCCACACCAATCAATAAGTCTGCTTTGCACTGCTCTTGGAGCTAAATTTATCCTTATGCAGAGGAACTCATTGAAGTCTTTACTTAAAATTTCAAACAAGGAAAAGTTTAGATGGGACTTAAACAGCGCATATCACTTGTACCGACATTGTCAAGTTCAGATGATATTCCTCCCCAATTACTCCTTCTGCAGAAAATATAAATACTTTCCTTAAAGCAGAGTGCAGAGTATTTTTATTCATAGTGATGCATTTTTCAGCAACTAAGCATTATGACTTTCCATAGCATTTACTGTTAATGGCACGTGTTCTTTTCAAACACACAACACAGAAAAGCATTTTCTCATTCAGAAGTTTTGACAACATACAGACATTCTAGCAGTCATACCACAAGGCAAGACTTGCCAAACTTTTTCAGTCATGCCAATGTTACTAAAACAGATTCCCTGAACACTGACTCAGTCCTTCAGACAATTCCTTTAGAGTATGGAGATCTGGAAGAATTTCATGTTGCTTTGTCAACTTGGATACAACAAAAGAGAACTAATGGGAACCTATTTCTCACATTTCTACTAGTCTTGATAGTTCCATATCATCAGAAGTACTTCATCATCAACAACAAACCACATCTTCACCATACTCAAGTGTTCCTAATAGTTGATGCTAATTGTCCTTACAACAACATGAACTTTTTGGAAACAGCATATAAGATTTTCTAAGAGTCAGAAAAGTAGATTAAATTATTTTAAAGGTGTAAGGACAAATATTTTGTTTTAATCTCACCTATCTACATCTTTATGAAAGGAAAGATTTGGGATTCTACAAAGTAAGTTGAATGGCTATTCCAAAAATTCTGAAATTCAACAATAAAAGTGCAAACATCAGGGTCTGTTAAACACTTGGATAGCCCATCTTGGCTGAAATGTAATACTTGTGTCTGCACTGGTGGAAAAAGAGTGTTTCCATCCCATTCAAATGAACATGATCTGACACTTCTTGAATACTGTAAAGCTTTAAGGCGTCTCCGTTCTTATTTATACTAGTGGTTCATGTTCACAGTACTGGATTCATTCAGCTGCATCTATTTAGTTTATTCAGTCTCAAATTGACAGCTTCTCTGCAACATACCCATTCTGACTCAAAAATGGAACATAATTAAACATACAGTTGGATAAAGTAATTTTTTCCCCATCTATGGGAAAGACTAGTGAAGCAGAAGACTCGTTATTAAATGAAAAATAAATGATTATCAATCCCTAGGAAAGGTGGCCTTCTTTGCAAGTCAAACAGGAAACCTTACAAAGGCATTTGTTAAAAACAAAAAAGCCATCAAAAGCTGTAAAAAACTTTATACCTCATTACCAACAAGTTGTTATTAGCTTCAGCTCCAGAGTTCAACAGGATGTATAGCTAGAGGGAATTGATGTCCCAGTATATATACACTCTACTTTCAAATGCTCTGTATTATCCCAGACCTCAACAAAACTTCCAGTAATTAATTTCTTATTAAATAAAACTAGCATCACTTGTAGTTTTCTATACTAATAGCTTTTTAAAAACCTAGCTAAATGTTCCAGAATGTTTTTCATACATATATTTATATACACTCAACTGCATACGCACATGCATGTAGGAACATGCAATTTTTAATTTGTGATGAACAAGACCCAGAAGGAGACACTCACGAAAACAGAGAGGGTAGGATTCATTTCTTTAGCAGAATGTGTTCATTTCATGATTCAATAACCCTAAAATAGATACCTACAGCTACACCCAGAACACAAGCAGCCCCTCAACTGTCCTGCACATTTAGACCATGACAACTGAGCGTAAGGGTATCAAAACCTTGACTCATGTCTTGCCGCTAAATTTGATTCACAATAAATAAGTGATTTGGGAGACAGAGAACTGGGCCCTAAGTTTCGTTATGAAAAGAGAGACATCTTAACACAAAATAAGAAATGTAAGTGATGAACATCACTGGTTTTTGCATTTGACTTATGCCCAATGATAACCAGAGATAGGTGACTTAGACTGTGCCAATTAATTTATGTGAAATGATTATTCTTGTAAATATATAAATAATATATATAATTTCCATTAATAGACCTTTGAAGACCTGTATGCAGAATTTGAACCTGTTTAAAGAAACAGACACTACAAAGTTACACCTGTATCTCATGTACAGTTCAGTTCCCACTGAACATCCTGTTTTCAGAAGTTTTGTCTCAAGAAGAAAGGTAAAAGAAAAACGTTTCTAAGAGATGGCACAAATTACACGATCTAGCTTTCCTTCAGGTCTGCTTGCTGCTCTTCCAATCACAATGAACAAGTGCAAGTAGTACTGTCTCATTAAATATGACTGGTAGAAAGAAAGAATTTGAATACATTGTTCATCAGTTTGAATGGTCTCCTGAAAGTTCCTTAAGAAAATTCCATCCATATTTTCAGCATTTTGAAAGTTGCTGAAATTAAAGTGCAATCATTCTGAAATCCTATTTATTTAGCAACGCTTTGCATGCTTTCTGTTCTTGTGAGCTCCCTGATAGCTATACATGTGTGATACTAACACTTAAGCTCTCCAAATTTATCACACAGTCCTGGAATACTGAAATGACATCTGGTTTTTATAGCATCAGGTGTGCCCTCATTATGCTTTTGTGAGGCAGAGCAGAAAATTGAAAAACAATTATGATTTAAGACTCTAAATTAAAACCTGTCGACTGTTTAGTAAAAATACTCCATAAAACCTGTTTGTATTTCAACAGACCACACTGAAGGATATAATTGTAAAAGCAACACAAAACAAGGTGTTGGTGGTGTTTGCTTATTTTGGAATTAATACAATTAATTATTGAAATATAGACTAATACAATTTTATAAATCGCTTACACATATTTATAGAATAAATACACAGACTGAATTTACAACTCATGTTAGACTCAAAGTCAAGCTTTACATGCAGAAGGCACATTTTACATCTTTGATAAACCAAGTATAAACCCAACAGAAAATGGCAGTGGCCCAAATGATTTTGAAGTTAAGTATAAAACAGAGTGGATAATTACAGACAGAATAATATGTAAAATACAAGAAAGCATGGACCAACTCACAAACAGAAGGATTAAGTTTATGACATACCTGTTCTGTTATCATGTAATTTTCCAGGGATCAAGAGAAAAGAAAGTTTTAAGGTAGGAATAACAAGCAACTTCACTGCACACAGAGCAGCACTGGAGAAAGCACTAGAGATGGTCATTAGCAAATGCAGACTGTCAAAGGTAAATGTTTCAACTGTTAGTGAAAGAAGAGTCAACATTTCCATAACGCATACAGGATAATGGCTAGAGTGGGAATAGATTGCAAAGCTTTGAAAGTGAAGTAGTTTATGTTTGGCAGAAGGAGAGCAAAGAAAAAGAGAGAGTAATAGCAAACAGAAGGTCCATCTCAGGGGCAATTCTGATCCTCAAGAAAAAAAAAAAAAAAAAAAACAACTTGGGAAAAAGCCAAGATGTCAGAATTCTTTTTAAAATGGCAATAGAAAAGCTTCATATATGTTTTTACTTGCAAACCATACAACATATTTTGAAACAGAAAAATCAAACTAAAATCAAAATTAAAATAAATATTCTAACTTAACATGAGACATTTTGGTATTATGAATGTGAAAT